ATCCTGGCATAGGGACTCCTGGGGCAGGCCCTGCAGGAAGCAACGGGCAAGCAGAGAAGCAGCAGGGCTAGCTAACCTAGCAGAGACCTTGCCCAGGGGTGCCCACGTGAAGGAAGGGAACAGACTCTCCCCCGAGGCAGCTCGGCACCCAGCGAGCGGAGCGTGGTGGGACCAGCCCCGGCTGCCCGTGCCCCAGAAGGGCTTCCAGGGGAGGCTGCTCGGAGCCACCAGCACGGGAGCTGCTCAGGAAGCTCCCAGGCCTGGTCTAAAGGGAGGAGGCTGATCACACCCAGGCCGTCCTCTGCGGTTTGCTGCCCGCGAAGCAGCCTCCCAACCTTGGCGCTCGCAGCCCGTCCCCTCCTTGCCAGCCCAGCTCTCGCCACAGACCTGCCGCAGTCTGCCTGCCATCGCTGCGCAGCCGCTCAACGCGGCCCTTCCCATTTATCTCCCTGCCATCAAGCCGAGAAAAGGCCTGTATTGTCTGCGAGGCTGGGGCGAAAATAAAGCTGCTGTCACTGGAGCCCAGTTGTTTTATCTGGAAGAGGGCTCCGCAGCTCCGAACGCCCATTTCCCGGTGCAAGGGAGTGCACGGGGGGAGACTCGAGGGTCCTCAAGAAGTGCAATTTGCAGCTGCACAATTAAATACTCGGGTGTGTCCTGGCCTGCGGGGTCCCCTGGGCAGCCCAGGCCTAACGAGGAGACAGTGGCATTACTAATCGGGGCTCTGACCTTTACATGGCTTTTATTTAATACACATTCCACACTTCCCCAAACTCCCATCCAAAACATTGACATTTCCGCTGATAGATTGGGTCAGATTTTGGAGTGGTTGGGGGACTCAATTCACTCGTACAATGGTTAAATTCTTACAGTTAAATGGGCTTATTCAGTTAGTGCAGCAGCTGGTGTGATTTCGAGAAGAAAATAAACATTTCCTTCAAATATTTTGATTGGCAACTGGACAACTGAAATACTCAAGCTCGGATTGCCAGGGTCCAGAAAAGCAAATGGGGGTTGGACAGTAAGCAAGGCGAACCGTAGTAAATTCTCGGTGTCGACGCTACCACGCAGATGTGTGTTTTAGACGCGCTGTGCTCTGTGTGTGTTTGAGAAGGAGACAATGAGATGTGACATTAAAACGCGTTGTCAGCCGCGATGGCAAAGGCGGCGCGGGACCCAAGACGGCGGCGGTTCCTATTTTCCTGGCGCTCGCTGCGCCTGTTGTTCGCCCTGCGTGGCTGCTTGATAGCTGGCAGAACGTGGCAGAGGGTTTCTCCGCTGTGGAATGAGGTGGTTATGGCGTACRTCGATGTAGATGTTTGGTTTGGAAACACTGGCGCTGTTGTGGAGCCAAGCGGGGCTCTGCGCGGCAGGGAAGCCCCCACTGGCGTTGGGCAGCGTGGTGAGGACGGGGYTCTCATCCGCCAGGACGCTCGGGTTGTTCAGAGCAGCCCGAGGTCCCTGTGGGGTGGCAGAGCTGTTGGAAAGACCCTGCAGTGGAAGACGGAGGAAGAGATGAGGTCGGCATGGACAGGGGCAGTCCCGTGTGAGGGCATTGACATGGAGGGGGCAGCCCCCTGTGTGGGCATTGACACGGAGGGGCAGCACCATGTGAGGGCATTGACATGGAGGGGGCAGCGCCCTCATGGGGACACTGCCATGGAGGGCAGCGCCATGCGAGGGCATCGACATGGAGGGGGAAGCCCCCCTCATGGGGATATCACCATGGTGGGCAGTGCCGTGCGAGGGTACCGGCATGGAGGGCGCAGCTCCCTCATGGGGACACCGCCATGAGGGACAGCGCCATGCGAAGGGCATCGACGTGGAGGGCACAGCTCCCTCATCGGAACACCGCCATGGGGGGCAGCACCGTGCGAAGGCATCAGCAYGGAGGGCGCAACTTCCTCATGGGGACACTAAAATGGAAGGGGCAGAGCCCATGGGAGGGCATCGCCATGAGGGGCAGCTCCCTCATGGGGATATCACCATGGTGGGCAGTGCCGTGCAAGGGTATCGGCATGGAGGGGACAACCTCCCTCATGGGGACACCGCCATGGTGGGCAGCGCCATGAGAGGGCATCGACATGGAGGGGACAACCTCCCTCATGGCGACACCGCCATGGTGGGCAGCGCCATGAGAGGGCATCGACATGGAGGGGACAACCTCCCTCATGGCGACACCGCCATGGCGGGCAGCGCCGTGCGAGGCTGCGGCGCCCGGCGCCTTCCCGCGGGCGCGGCTCCCTCTAGCGGCCATTGCGCGCGCGGGAGCCGCGTCCTGAGGGGCGGCCGGCGGGAGACGAGGGCAGCCCTGTGGGGATCGGGCAAAACACTGCCACCACGCGCCCTTCGCTTTGTTTTAGTTATTTTAGGGTGTATTTTATTTTATTTTCCTTTTTTTACATCCCTCAGACCAGCCCGCGGACGCCGGGTGGCTCTTCAGCGCACTCGCTGGTGGGTGATGGTGCCGGGTGCCCCTCGCTCCCTGCACACGCAGCCCGTAATTAATACCCTTGCTCGCCAGCGCTGATTGCCAAATGTTGCAAATTCGGGCCAATAAAACGCAGCCTTTAAAAAAGAATAATAATAATAATAATAATAAAAAAGAAACCTTTGAGAGTGTTATAGAGGAGAAGGGAAATGTGCCCTGAGCACTTAGGTTTTATTTCAGTTTGCATTTTACAGGATATTATTTGTGGGCGTATGAAGCCTAATGAAGGAGAGCACTCTGCTCGCCAGAGATCATCGCCTTGTGTTGGGAGAGGCGGTGATGGGCGAGCTGGGAGGACTGGGGAGCCCCCCGGGGATTTGGGGACTAGTCCAAAATGTGGCCAAACCACCTGGCTGCTGGGACGGGTGAGGAGGAGGCTTGCTGACCATGGTAGTGCACACCAAATCCAGCTAGGATTTTGGTCCGACCTTAATCCTGGTGGCACTGGTGGGTTGCACTGGTCAGATTGGCCCTTGGTGAGATGACCTCCAAGCCTCGCGTGCCAGCTCCTGCCAACAGTGTTGCTGGCATCGTGGCTGTGACACAGGGCAAAGTGTCCTACCGATAGGCAGGGGTGGAAAAGTGAGTTTTCTTTGGTTGTCCTACCGATAGGCTGGAGTGGAAAAGTGAGTTTTCTTTGGTCCGCTGTAAACCTTCGTGGTCGGATAGTGGGTTTGCAGCCAGCCCAAGCACGCTCCCCGTTGGCGCCGTCTGCCCTCGGAGGCCAAGGGAGCGGCCGTCGTCGGAGTGGCTCGGCCCTGAGCTGCTCCTCTCTTATCTCACCCCAAAACCACAGCCACGCTCCCCGCCGGGCTTCTCCCCGCCCCTCTGCTCCATGGAGCCAGCGTGGGTGCAGGCTCTGAGCGCRGCCAGCACCGCGGCTGCAGGGTGGGGAGGAACCCACGGCCTCTTCTCCAGCCAGGAAMCAGTGGCTGAAGACATCACCTGGGCTTAGAGAGTGTCAAATATCCCCTCCTGATCTGCTCCTCCTTCACTGCTGGCTTGCCAGAAGGAGTTTCCTTGGGTGCTTCTTTCCACCAGGGCCTGGACCGGCACCCTGGGTGCTCAGATCCAAGCTGGCGGCTCTAGGGCAGAAGGCAGCGGAGGGCAGGGGTGCCCTCCAGCATTCCTGCAGGAATGGGAACGCTCCTCCATTTCAGGACGTGCTCAGGAGGGGAATAAAAGCTGTTGATCACTCTGAGAAGCTAAAACAGTTTCATCTTAACAAGCATATATATATATATATATAACATATCTGTATACATACAAATCTAAATGTAAATGTGCATATGTATATATGTATGTATACACATACATATCTAAGAATAACAAATGAGTTTATTGTATTCATCACACATTTTCTCACTGGGAGTTGATTGAGAATCCAGCTGATGTGACAGACAGCGATAGCTAATAGTCTTTCTGGCTAGGTTTGCTCTTTAGGGATAAACAAGCTTTTATGTGTTAGCTCTCAGCATCATAAATATGCTGAACGTGCTGGAGACCCTGGCACAGCACAATCTCAAGCTTTTTCACCCTGCCTTTTAGCATGTGTCCTCCTTCAGAGCACGGACTGGGGGAATAGTTGGGTCTCCGTGGCACAGGTTTCAGGAGAGCAGGGGCAAACCCTTCCAAAAAAACCCTCGAAGTGCTCAAGGAACTTCCAGAGTGGGTTTTCTAGTCTAGGCTCCCCCAACGACACCCTGCAGGTATCCCTATCCACTCACATTAACAAGGTGCCTTTGGGTTTATATCTGCAGAAGCAAAGTCCTGGCTCCTTCAGGAGCCGAGGGAGCTGGACATCATCTCACCAACCTCACCCAAACCTCCCTTCCCCCCAGCAGAAGAGACCCTGCAATTCTCACTTTCTTTATCCTCTTGGAAGGAGAAAAATACACAGTGCAAAGCGAGCAGGGGGATATCGTGGCTCCTTGCTCGGGACTTTTCAGCTGTGTGTTTATCAGCTCCATCCCCTGATGGTATCAGCACGAACAGGCCACCCACAAGAAGGCTTAGCAGCCTGGTCTGGACTCCAGCTTTCCTCCCTGCCTCCGTGTGCGTGTGTATATACAGCACCGACCAGCTYGGGGACCAGCCGTCTGGGGCCTGCATCCATTTATTTACTACACAGCATGTAAAGGCTAAACATTTTTTTTTCCTGTGTTTATGAAGTTTTTTTTTTTAAACCAGCCAGAGATGAATAGACCCCTGAATAAGTCGGCTTAGTCGTGTCCCTTCTTGGATAGGAAGTAACAAATTTTAGGACAGGAAATGAGACCAACTTAAACAAATGGTTTGGGGATTTTGTGTTGAAGTTCTCCAGCTCTCTTCCCTGGCAGATCCGAGGCGCGTTTCCCTATGGCTTCAGTTCCTTGGGCAGGTGGTGCCCTGCATGCAGGGATGGGCACGCAACCTTCGGGCAGCTCTTTGCCATGGAAGCAGCCAGCGGGGCCCGGGAACAGCCACGGACAGAGCCCTAACCGCCCGCTCTCTGCTTGCCCCCGCACAGGCACGTCGGATCTGAGCCCCTTCTCCGACCCGCGGCAGTTCGAGCGCTCCTTCCCGGCGCTGCCGGCGCTCACGGAGACGCGCTTCTCCGACCCGCGCATGCATTACCCCGGCGCCATGTCCGCCGCCTTCCCCTACACCGCGACGCCCTCCGCTACGGGCATCGGCGGCATCAGCATGAGCAGCATGCCGGCCGCCACGCGCTTCCACCACACCTACCTGCCGCCCCCCTACCCCGGCTCCACGCAGAACCAGAGCGGGCCCTTCCAGGCCAACCCCTCTCCCTACCACCTCTACTACGGCACGTCGTCGGGCTCCTACCAGTTCTCCATGGTGGCCGGCGGCGAGCGCTCGCCCACCCGCATGCTCTCGTCCTGTACGAGCGCCTCGGCGGGCAACAACTTGATGAATCCCAACCTGGGCAACCAGAACGACGGGGTGGAYGCGGACGGGAGCCACAGTAACTCGCCAACCACCATGACCACCACTGGGAGGATGGATGAGTCGGTCTGGAGACCTTACTAGGAGGAACTCAACCAGACCCTGAGAGCTTTAACTTAATCAAACAGCCACCATTAGGTTACTCCTTCGGCTAGTGAATAGAGTGAAAYGATGCCTAGGGAACAGATGACCCAAAGTCTTCCCAAACCAAAAGCCAACCAGGATCCTTTGCATGCAAGCATGGGTGAGCATCAAGTGAAGACGGACCAGGACCTGCGTTACATTTCAAGATGAACGCCCTTGAGGCTTGAATTCGTCGCTTGATGTGATTCCTCCCATGTGGTGTAAAAATGTGGACTGTACATAGGAAACATTTAAAAAAAGAAAAAAAAGCTATGTGGAATCAGATATTTGTTTATTACAGAACGCTTCTCAGTCATCTCATCTTCCCCGAACAAAACAGTGAAAAGATCAAAAAAAAAAAAAAAAAAAAAAAAAAAAAAAAAAAAAAAAAGCCCTTCTGCACAACCTGAGGTGTCCAGAGAGGACGAAAGTGCAGGAATCGGCCAAGCCGCCCGTCTGCCAGCGCAGGAAGACTGAACTGCAAAAAAACAAAGGAAAACAAAAATCCAAAGCAAAGCAAGCAATTCCCTTAGGCTCCTGTCCCTCCCTGCCCACCGCTTCGGGCCCCTGGCCACCAAATTGCTGGGGGCCGGTATGGAGCCTGGTTTACAGCCCGCGGGGGCCGGGGCGGCTCTGCCGGCGGCAGCCACGTCCACGAGGGCTCTGGCGCCGGCGCCGGCACCTCTCCTTGGTGCCAGACGTGGCCTTGTCCCTCTTGTCACTGCTGTCCCTTTCCGGGCAGGAACGTGGTTGCTCCCGGGCCTGGCAGCCCCGCCAGCCCCTGCTCTATGTTTACAAACGAGATGTCCTTTTTAAGGAGATGTGGCTCGCTGTGTTTCCTTTGCTCCTTGGTCCCGGCCTCTCCGCAGGGCTCCGGGAGGCGGCGGCCGGCACGACCCGCATCATGGAGATGCACATGCAGCTTGTGGCRAAGCCGCCTCTTTCTCTTCCGATCCTTTCCCAGGGATCCCCCCGGATCGGAGCAACTCATGATGCATTTTGTTTCTCATTAAGAAAGGACTTGCAAAAGCTCTCACGGAGCTTTGGAGAACGGAGCGATCTTTGATTAGCCCCTGGGTGGTGGGCGCAGCGTGAAGCGCTGCTGGTGGCTGTTGTCCATCCCGTCCCCTTCTTTTCCGTCCTCTTTTCCCCAAAAGCGYCCCCGAGCACGGGTATCCTCGCTGCAGATGGGCGAACTGAGGAGTGGCCGCTCCAGGTGCTGCTAGCCCGTCCTTAGYGCAGCGCAGCCCCTGGCCCTTGCGCTCCCCAGGGATTTGCAATCCCGACGGCACTGCCGCGGAGGCCGAGGGCAGCCGGGCACCGGGAAGGGCACCCCCAGGCCCACCTTAGTGGCCTCACATGGAATTTTTGCCTCATGAGCCCCAAGGCCAGCGGTGCCTTTGCCTGGTGGGGTTTAGAGCCGGCTCCGGGTTTCCCGGTGCGGGAAGGTTCCGAGGGAGCCAGTTTCACCCCCGAGCCCCTGCACAAGGCTCCAGCGCCTCCCGGATCTGCAGGAATTCTGCCCACACCGCTGCCCCGTCCCGTCCGCCCTGGCGCGTTCGTGACCCCCATCGGCAGCCCCACATCTGCGGCGGTGACGCAGAGCTTCCCAACGGCACCGCCGAGCGGCCGCGCTGGCCACTCCTGAAAAAAACATTTTCCAGGAAAAACAGCAAAAAAAAAGAGAAAAAAAAGGTAAAAAACCCACCCTATCCCAGCAAACTGCAACGTGCCCCGGCCTGGGCGCCGCAGCCTGCGTTTCCAGGCATTTGCCTTTCTCCTACCATCGCGCCTCCGGTGGGAAGCACAAAGGAAACCCAAGGCATTCACGGTACGAGGTGAATTTAAGACTGTTCGTAGTGGATTTTAAAAAAGAAAAAAGAAAAGAAAAAAAAAAGCAATGGCAACGGTGTTTTTGTGACATATTGTCATGTGAAGGTGTAAATATAAGCACCTCTGTTGTATGCAAATGGTCAAGAGACAGGCCAACGATTTTTGCTTTGCACTATAATTTGCTTTTTTTTTACAAAAAGAAAAAAGAAAGAAATGCACAATCGCTTGTACAGTAAAACCCCTTTGTCTGGCTCACAGAATATTTAACTATAAAATCTAATTTTTGGTCTTATTTGTAATAATAATATAATTCTTAAATGTGTTGAAGGATCCGATTCTTAATAATGCTTCTAATAACTACTTGTACGTGCAGGGTTAAAACAGCACCAAGCAGCTAAGGAGATGAGAATGGAGATCTCAAGATAAGGAAGGYGAAAGCTTTGTTGCTTTTTTTTTTTTAATGGAGTCTTATGATGGACATTAAAAAAGAAAAAAAGAAGAAAACGAGCTAGTAATACCAAATCACGTGGTTATTTGTGCAAGGTACCAGCCCTACTTGAAGGTGATGCCCTATATTTAATATGTAGCCCGTGTTTTTACCGTGTAGCACTTGTCCCTGGGGAGACTGGGACGGCACGGCCGGGTCTGCTCCCAGCCCGGCGTGTGGGAAGAGGCTCCGGCGTCTCCGCGCGGGTTCTTCGCCAATGGACGCGCCGGGGTCGTCGTGCCCGCGTGTAACCCTTGGAATGCCTGTCCGTGTGGAACAATAAACGTACGGTTAAGAGCCCGCGGCGCGTGCTCGCTTTGTGCTGCGCGCCGCCCGTGGCGCCCGCTCCTTCCCAGTTCCCGCGTGGCGCCCGCTCGCACCGCGTCCCGCTCCGCTTGGCGCCCGCTCCTGCGCCAGCAGCTGCCCCCGGCYGCGGTAGCGCAGAGAAATTAAAGAGTACGAAAGAGAAAGGGACAGGGTGGTCCCAAGGGCGGCGAGCGCCCCGGGTGTTGGGCACCCAGTGGGAGCCGTGGCTGCCTTCCCTTCATGCGGTGAGCCCCCCACCACCATGTGCCCACCACCATCACCACCATGTGCCCACCACCATCACTGTGTGCCCARCACCACCATGTCCCCACCTCCATCGCCATGTGCCCACCACCACCATGTGCCCACCACCATCAGCATCATGTGCCCACCACCCTGTGCCCATCACCACSACCATGTCCCCACCACTATGTCCCTACCACTATGTCCCCACCACCATGTGCCCACCACCATGTGCCCATCACCACCACCATGTGCCCACCACCATGTCCCCACCACCATGTCCCCACCACCATGTGCCCACCACCATGTGCCCATCACCATCACCATGTCCCCACCACTATGTCCCTACCACTATGTCCCCACCACCATGTGCCCACCACCATGTGCCCATCACCATCACCATGTGCCCATCACCATGTCCCCACCACCATGTGCCCACAACCATGTGCCCACCACCATGTGCCCACCACTATGTCCCCACCACTATGTCCCTATCACTATGTCCCCACCACCATGTGCCCACCACCATGTGCCCATCACCACCACCATGTGCCCACCACTATGTCCCCACCACTATGTCCCCACCACCATGTGCCCACCACGACATGCCCACAACCACCACCACATTCCCACCACTACCACCAGCCTCCACGGGGCCGCCAGCAGCAAGAGGCTGTCAGGGACCTCCCGGCCGCTCTCCAAGCAGGGGCCACCAGCCCACGCTCAACATCGCCAACACCTGACGGCCACATGGGCAGATTTCCAGGCTGGGCCCCCTCCCAAGCCCAGGAGCTCAGGGCTGGGTGCTGGCTCCCCTTGGAAGCAGGTGCTTTSCAGGCTGTCCTGCCCTGACAGATGGAGCAGGGGCTTCTTCCACCCGCTTTTTGTTTTAATGCCCTTTTTCTTTGAGTATTGCCTGTTTAGAAGCTCCACGGTGGCAGACGTGGAACATTCATTAGGGACAGTGCTAGGTCGCACGGGAGCCGCATCTGCTCGCTCAGCGGGACCTCGCGGCTCAGCGAGACAGGGAGTGTAAACACGGATATTTATATACATATATGGGTCTATATGTATGCATGGAGATGTACATACACATATATGTGTGTGTGTGTGTAGATCTCTATGCATGTAGGAAATACAAGGCCATCCCAATGAGAACATCAGCCCGGGGTTGCAAGAGCGACGTCCTCTCCCCGCCGGCCCCAGTGGGTGCGGGAGACTCCGGGAGAACCAAGAGGGCTGGGGATGGGCCGGGAATGGCATCCGGCCSGGCCCTTCGCACCCCCGGCTCCCATCCCGCTCCCGGTTCCACTCCAGGAGGAATATTTCCTATTGGCGCTACCAGGCAGGGTAACTCCTTTCCCGTCAGTGAGCTGCAAAGCCCTGTGGGACCCTGAGCACGGGTATATGTGTTGAATTCTTCAAAACTGGGGAAAAAAAAAAAAAAAAAAGAAATAATAGAGGAGGGAAAATTAAAAAAAAAAAAAAATCAGCCTGGCTTGGCCACAGGGCTCCCACCCAGGCATTCCCTGCTGCCGGGAAATCCATCCCGGAGCCRCCGTCACCGTCATCAGTGTAATGAGCTGGAAAGCACCCAGGAGCCCCCGTGAAGGGGGAACTTGTTGGAGGGGAGCGTTAACAAGCGGATTAACGGGGCCGGGGGCTCCCTGTGCGCCCCCCTGCCCGTGCTGGGTGGTCCGGCCGCTCGAGGCTTTTGCCGGTGGAGAAGGGCTYGGGAAAGGTTATTCCTGGCGGGACACTGGGCTCCAATGTGGGATGTGCGAGGGCCGTTCCCTCCTTGCCTGGATCTCTGACGGCATCAAAGCCGGATGAAGGAGGGAAGCAGAAACCCGGCGCTGCAGCACAGCAGGACTAAACCTCCTAGCCGAGCCAAGGCCCATGCTGTTCCCTCCCGGAATGTGGGGGAAAATGGGCACAAAACTGCTTGCCCCAATGTGGTGGGCACAGATACCCTCTGCCCAAACCCCAGCCTAAACCTGAGCCTTCCTCCTGGCTGAGCCCCCCAAAACCTCCTCCCCATTGCAGCATTTGAGGAGAGGAGAGGAGAGGAGAGGAGAGGAGA